AGGCTCCAGAGTCTTTCCTTGTTGCGCTCTTAGCTTTCCCTGGTCCCTCCCCCCCCACCCCCCCCCCACCCCCCAAGCCACTCAAGCCCTTTCTGCAGTCTGGATACAAACCCCGAACCCTTACTGTAATAGCGATGTGGAAGACCTGAGTGTAGCTCTCAAGAGGCTGTCAAAGCACCCTGGTCCACCAAGCTGAGCAGGCAGGTCCCTGCCACCTACCCTAATTGTGTAAATAACAAGAGAAATTGACAACAGAGCCAGATCTACTGAGTTTAAGGCTGTCCTAAGTCTGGTAGCCAGGTACACGCTGGCACCACCGTGGATCCCGGCTGGACACATTTGGACAACCAGAAAAAATCTAATACGGAAGGACAAAATTGTATGGCAAGGTCACATTTACTGAGTTGACCACGTCCTGTGACCCCAGGAAGGAATATTCTTAGGAAATATGTGACCTCAGGAAAGAACATTCTTAAGAAATAAACACTCAAGTCGGGTGTGGGCTGCGCGTGCCTTTAATGCCATCAAAGGGAGGCAGAGAGTTCGAGGCCAGACTGGTCTATATAGGGAGTTCCAGTACAACCAGGGTAGCATAATGAGACTCGATCTTAAACAATAATAACAGCAACAACATCACATACACACCAAAAAAAAAACCCACAAAAAAAATTGAAAAAAGAAATGAACACTCAAGCCCAGACTCCCTTTGTACGTCACTGAGATGTCACAGGATTCGAAACAATACTCTGGACTATAAAAGGAATGGTCTAAAATACTAACATTCAGTGTAAATTTGGAAAGCCTACGCTGATGTTCTTTTGAATTACTTTATGCAGCTTGTATCTACAGTGGTCTAAGGCAGTTCCCACTCACCTGAAATCTGCTCAGAAGGGTTCATTGTGTATCTGAGAGAAAGGAAGGGGAACAGGTCGTTAAGAATGCGACAACTCCCAGGGAAACCGAGATGAGTAACCGAAAGTTCTTCGGAAAAGCTGCCTCTCCTCTTGCATTTTACTTAGACTACTATTTTCCTTTAAATATATATATTAATATATATATATATATATATTATAGTTATAGGTTCACAGGAAACTGCAAAAGTAACAACTGCAATGGCCCTCATGATCACATCTTTTTGTTTCATTTATTGAGTCTGTGTGTAGACTGTGAATAAATCCTCCTCCCTCCCAGGCCCACTTATAAACACTGTTCCCCAGGGCTGTACTTTGGGGAGGTGCTTTGGACCTCTAAGAGCTGGAGCCAAATGAGAGGTCCTCAGGTCCTGGAGGATATGGGGATTTTAGAACCCCTGTTCCCCCCACCTTTCCTGGCCCCAGTGTATGAATTCTCCCACCGGCCCACGCTCCTGTCACACTGTGCTGTCTTCATTTGAGGCCCCCAAGCCTTGGACTCGAACCTCTAGACCCATACATAAACTAAAGCAATCAATCGTCCATTTGCCTAAGAAGTCTGCATCTGGTGTTTGGCTGTAGTGATCGAAACCTAGATCAGAAAGTCGCTTTCCTCTGTCCGGGTGTGCAGTTGCCGTGTGGTAGGGCGAGTGATGTGATGGTTCCTTTGGCTCACCAGCTTGGCCAGGGCATTAGTGAGGCTCACCTTGGGGTGTGCCTGAGAAGGTGTTTTCAGAGAAGGTTAACGGGGGTGGGGGAGGGGCAGATATTTACCCTGAGTGTGTGTAGTTCCATTTCTGCAGGTCAAGACAGAATAAAAAGGGGGAGAGAGAAGAGAGCAAATTGTGTCTCCTGGCTGACTGAGATGTGAACAGTCTCCTGCACCTCCCCTGTGACAGACTTACCTCCTCAGACTGTGAACCAAAGTTAACCTTTTCCTCTAAATTACTTCCGTTGGATATTTGGTCACGGAGTTGAGGAAAAAATGAGCTGATACAAGAGGTGCGAAAGAGCAGCCCAGCTCTGAGCTTCTGTGCCACTGTTTCCACGGCAACGAGGGCCAGTTCCTCTGCATCCTCTTCCGCTTCTGCTGTCGTTGTTTTATCTCAGCCATTAACATATGTTCAGTGTTGGTTTACTTGAGCATGAGTTTTGTATTTGCACCTGATGACTTGTGATGTTGTTATCAGCCAGGCACAGGTCTTCATTGATGAGACAGTATAAAGTTCGAGTCTCAAAATAAATCCCAGATGGATCAAAGATGTAAACACAAACAGACACACGGGGACTTTTTTTTTTAAATCATGCTTATTAAAAGATTTTAAATCAAGGGGCTGGAGAGATAGCTCAGTGGTTAAGAGCATTTACTGCTCTTGCAGAGGACTGGGCTTCAATCCCCAGCTCTATGTCAGGCAGTTGTAAATTGCCTCCTACACCAGTTTCAGGGGAGCTGATGCTTCTGACCTCTGCAGGCACCTGCATGCACATGTACACAGATATGCAAACATAAACATCATTTTTAAGTATCTTTTTTTTAAAAAAAGAAGAAATGCATATCAAAACCACATTTATATGCTCTTTCTAGGCATCAGACTGAGAAAGATCTTGTTAAAGTGCCATCCGGACTGTGAAGAACCGCTGTGCACAGAGAATAAACAAGTTTGTGTATTTGGATGACAACTTGATAGTATCTCTTTACACTAAAAATGAACATATCCTTCAACACAGCTAGTTCAGCTTTTGACCTGGAAACTCATAAATACACATTGTCCTGACCTGGGAACCCATTTTTAGTTCAGTCACAGAGAATCAATTGTGTATATAAAAAACGTAACTATGAGTGATCCTTATAATTTATATCTAGATGTAGATAAGGAGCATATGCTTATTCAGTAGGACAGTTGTGCCTGCTTGGTGACATGGAGTCAGTCAGGCTGAGAGAAGGAAGGGAGGGAGAGTTGAACAAGGTCTGTTCTTTTCTACTCACTTATAGTTCTTAAAATGACAAACCTGGCATTGGAGAGATGACTCTGTGGTCAAGAGAACTTGCTGCCCTTCCATAGGACCTACTCAGCTCTCAGGACTCATCAGTTGGCTTTACCCCTGTCTGTAATACAGATCCTGAGATTCTGATACCTACTTCTGAATCTGCAGTTGCTCAAATATGTGGGGGAGTGAAAGAAAGGGAGAGATGAGAGGAGAGAAAGACAGAGACATGGACACAGAGAAAGAGACAGAGGGAGGGAAGGAGGGAGAAAGAAACAGAGAAAGACAGAGACAGCACACACAGAGAGAGACACAGAGAGAGAAAGAGATGGAAGGAGGGAGGGAGAGTGAGAAACAGAGAGAGACAGGACAGCACAGAGAGGGGGGGAGGGAAAGAGA